AACAGACGCCCGTCGCGTCCGATGCGCGAAGGCCATGGGGCCAGGAAAAACGAGCACTTAGAAGTACTAGCCTTCCCGACCCCAGCGGCGGATCTGGTCTATGGCTCCGCCGCCAACCAAGATTCGGCTGCGGAGGATAGGGAGAGCGGCGCCTCGCAATACCGTCAATCCTCTCCCCCCGCAGCCCCATCACCACCGCATCAACGGTGCGGCCCCGTTTGAGTCGCGGAGGATAGGGCGAGTGGCGCATCGCCATACCAACACTCCTCTTCCTCCGCGACTCCACCTCGGCTGCAGCGGTAGAGGGTGCGGAGTCCCCACTCGCTGCAGTCCACCAGCATACATCCGAAGTGGGCTCCCCAAGCCCACTCGGAGTGGCCACCTCAGGCCGGCCCTTCACCTCGGGCCAGCCACGTGGATTCCTCTTTGTTCACCGTGGGAGACCAAGCCACGGCTACTAAGCCCCCCCGCCACGACAAGGCGGGAACCCGTTCGGGGGGGAAAAATGCTCTAACCTGCGTCTTGTCTTTTGGAACCGGCCAATCACAGCGGCGATTTTCTCTGGATCTGTGCGGATACCTTCTTCCGATACTACAAACCCCAAAAAGTTAACTTGCCAACTTGCCATTGGAATAGTGAACATTTTTTTGGGCTCAACTTGAGGTTGGCACTCTGAGCTCTCTTCATGAGCACGTGTTCCAGGTTTTGAAGGTATTCCTCAAACGTACGGCCTACGATGATGATGTCATCCAAGTAGACCAGACAGGCATCGCCAATTAGCCCGGTAAGTACAAGTTCCATCAGCCTTTCAAACGTTGCTGGAGCATTGCACAACCCAAACAGCATTACTTTAAATTGCCACAGACTCTTTCCCGTCGAGAACGCAGTTTTCTGCTTGTCTTTAGGGTCAATTTCAACTTGCCAGTAGTCACTTTTTAGATCCAGCGTGCTAAACCACTTTACTCATGTCCAGCGTTTCATCAATTCTTGACAAGGGATAGCTGTGCTTCTTCGTAACGTCGTTCAGACGGCGGTAGTCAACACAAAACCGCATGCTGCCGTCCTTCTTCTTCACCAGCACCACTGGTGAACACCATGGACTAGAGGAAGGTTCAATAACACCATCCTTCAACATTCCTTCAATCATGGTTTCCACTTCCTTTTCACGTGCTACCGGCAATCTTCTTGGCCGCTGACGGATAGGCAATTCTTCTCCTGTGTTTATTTTGTGTTGAACTAAGCCAGTCTTTCCTATGTCAGCATCGTTTGATGAGAATACATCGGCGTACTTGAGTAACAGCTTCTTCGCCTTGACCAATTCGTTCGGGGAGAGAAGACTGCGACAGTCTTCCAAAAGTGTGGTCACTCTCGTTTCTGAATCCTTGCTGGGGGTCCCAGTCGATATACATATATTGCGTATAGTGGTACTGACGTAACCAATCCACTTCCTCACAAGTACCAACCAGTGTGCCTTTTGCTATAATCCGTTCCGGGTCGCAAAGGTTCAGCACACGTACTCCCGAGATGTCAGTGGTCCTGACCAAGGTTCGAGCTACTTTCCATGGAAGGTCATTGTTTACCCTTTCCACGAGTACACAACGGTGAGCTTGCCCAGCGTTTCGAGGAAGACTAACCGGAACAATCGTTTCCGATCTCGGCGGAAGAACAATCTTCTTGATGCTGTACACGTTCCCTGGTAACGCACCTTCCATAAAAAGTTCCTCCTGTCCACATTTCAAAACACCTTGCTTAACGTCGATCTCGCAACAATTATTCCTCATAAAGTCTAAGCCTAGGATGCAGTCGTCCATTATATCAGCCACGATGACATTATGCAGGTAGGTCACGTTGCCTAGCTTCAACTCCATCTCCTTCTCTCCACGGACGGGTATACGCTGACCGGTGGCTGTTACCAAATTAATGCGTTCTCGGTTGTATGCGGAGTCCCCAAGGAACTGACTTATAAGTTGGGAACTAACAACCGTACGAGAGGCTCCAGTGTCTATGGTCAGCTTACACGGCATTCCGTTGATCTCGCCCTTTATGATTAGGCTGTTCCCATCATGGTTTTGTAAGATCGAGATCTTTGGGGCTCTTTTAACATCAGCCAGCACCCGCCCCGCAGTTCTGGCTTTTACTCGTTTCCCTGCTGCTGCTGGGCGGTGCTGTTGGCCGCACTACCCTCCTGAGATCGTTCAATTTCCCTTTCTAGGGTTTGCTTAGGGCAGCTGGATCGAAGATGGCCCTTTTCCCCACAGCCATAGCACCTTGGGCTGTATCCTTTGTTGCGGTCGCGAACTGTAGCTGCTGCAACCTCCCTGACGCGATGGGAACGATGATCCTGCCGTACGGCTTCCACTTCCAGTGCATGGGCCAAGGCGTCCTTAAGCGTCTCGTGGTTCCCGAGCCTCACAGCAGCTCTGACTTCCAGGTCGCGGATGCCGTCGATGAATGTCTGCACCAGGTTCCCTTCAATGAGCGCAGGTACAGACCGGTATGCTTTTCGCACCAGCTTCTCCACATCTAGAGCCCACTGCTGCAGGTTTTCGTTGATGCGCTGCACACGATATTTAAGCTGCGCACGAAAGACGTGTTCCAGGTGAGCGTCGCCATATCTAGCCTCCAATGCCTCAAGAAGTTGCTCATAAGTCACTTCCTCACCGAGAGCTTCCAGAACTGTTAAGGCCTGGTCGCGCAGGCCTAGTGTGAGAGCAGTCATGGCCTGACTTTTATTCCAGCCGTTCGCCTTCATAACAGCCTCGAACTGGATTTTGTAGGCTGACCAGGAAGAAGTCCCGTCGAACGGTGGCACCTTGAACCCACGTAGCGAAGGTGCAGTAGCTACTACGGGAGCTGTAGTTCCATCCCCAAGTTTGAGTTCATCCAGTGTTTTCTTAACTTGGTTGATTTGGGTCTCAGCTTCCGACAGGCGTTTATCATGTTGAGCAACCTTATCCTTCACCTCCCTTATCTCTTTCCCGAAGGTAGCGTGAAGGTCCTTCATGAGAAGCATCTGTTCTTCCTGGCCGCCCCGTAGCTGCTCTTCCAACCGACGGACCTGTTCCTCCTGTCGGCGAGCCTGTTCCTCCTGTCGGCGAGCCTGTTCCTCCTGTCGGCGAGTCTGTTCCTCCTGTCGGTGAGCCTGTTCCTGTAGCATCGCCATCAGAGCACCTAAGGGCCGGTTTTTTGATCCGTAGTTAAGGCGACCAATGGTTAAAAATAACGACCAATGGTTAAATTTTTGTAAAATCCGTTTTTTGACCCATAGTTAGCACAACCAGTGGTTAAATAAGTAACTATTGGTCACAAAATTTAACCACAGCTCCAACAAGGGATTAGCAAGATGGCGGCTAGTTAACTCTCGCATTATCAGCTGTTCTCACTTCTCAGTGTTGTTTGCTCGTGTGATTTTAGTGTGGATTTTAGTGAAAAGTGTTACAATACAGATTTTCTGTGTTATTAATTATGAATTTAAACATAACGAGATACTTCGACATTTCAGAAAGTTCATCTGATGATGAAATTGTTGCGGAATATGTTTTAATGAGAAGACCAAAGGTATTCAGACCACGTAATCCGCCCCTGGGGCATTGGGACGAAGTAGACTTTTGTCAGCGCTACCGTCTATCTAAAGAAAGTGTAATTTGGATCATCAGAAACATAGGAGACGAGTTAAAAAGACCAACTGAAAGAAATTATGCAGTTACGCCAATGGAGCAATTATTGCTTACTTTAAGATTTTATGCCACTGGGAATATGCAACAATGTTCCGGTGATCTGTCTGGTGTCTCAAAATCCACTGCCTGCAAAATAATTCATGCTGTATCAAGGCACATTTGCTTAAAATTAAAATATTTTATTGCAATGCCTCAGACGGCTGGAGATGTCATTGAAAGTTTTTTCAATATAGCAAAATTCCCAAGTGTTGTTGGTGCAATAGATTGTACCCATATACGTATTGCAAGCCCAGGTGGAGATAATGCGGAATTGTATAGGAACAGAAAAGATGTGTTTTCTATAAATACTCAAGCCATCGTCGATTCAAAACAAAAAATTAGAAATTTAGTTGCTAGATGGCCGGGTTCAGTACACGACAGTACAATTTTTAATAGCAGTGCAGCCAAAGATTTAATGATATCTCAAAAGTTTGGCAGATGCTGTCTTTTAGGAGATAGAGGCTATGCCTTAAAAAAGTATTTGCTGACTCCTTTGGCCAACCCACAAACTGAGGCTGAGAGGCTGTACAATGAAAGCCATATACGAACAAGGAATGTGGTTGAAAGGACATTTGGTGTGTGGAAGAGGAGGTTTCCTTGTATAGGCACAAAATTGCGAGTGAAATTGGAGAATGTGCAAGCTATAATAGTGAGCACAGCAATTCTTCATAACATATGTGTAGACCGAAATGATGCTTTACTCGATGACTCTACCAGTAACCTAAACATCATTTTGGATGAAAACATTAATACAACATCACCTCCATCGACTCAAAGTGATCAGCAATATCGGCAAGAATTAATTGATACATACTTTGTTTCTTTGCTCAACTCAGAATAAATGTTATATACATGATACATGTAAAGGAATGTATGTTATAAAATACATATAGAAATAAAACATATTTTAAAAATAATATCGTTTTTTAATCACAATCATAACTTACCTAAACTTATATTACATTACATTACACTATACCATATACTACTTTGCTTATATTATTAATATTAAATAACTAATAGTGACTATTGTTCTGAAATACAGCTGCATTTCTTAATTTTTAAAATTTCTAATTTAACTTTTTTCCAAAAGTAATTCTTGTATATTTTTCTTAAATACTACTTCGAGCTCATGCATTTCCTTTTGTTGTTCCATGTACAAAGCGTGCTTTTGTTCCATGAATTCTATTTCTCTTTTATATTTATCTGCTTTATGTGTAATATTTTGCTGGTGCTCTTCTTGTGCATATTTTTTTATTTGCTCTTCCCTGCTCTTTTTTTCGGTTAAAAACTCTTTTTCTCTTCAAAATGAGTTACGATACGTTTTCTGGCTTCAAAAGGAGTATAACATTTCTTTCTTTTGTTGTGAGGACTCGCTGTAAACAAAGAAACTATGAAAAGAATGTTATTTAAAATCAAATTACATCAGTCCCATTTTTGCTAAACCCTTTTAGAGACAATGTTATACTTTTATTTTTATACTGTACCTATGCTTTATATTGCAATAAATTTTATGAAACTTTATAAATGGAATAAACTTTTAATATTTATTAATAATAGACACAATGGGCTACTTTTTATACAAACATAAAATAAGATAAGCAAAGAAATTTTTCACAAATTACAGATCAAATCAATTATGATTGATTTAATTTTGACCTTGTGATTTTATAAATTAATTCATCTCTGTTTATAATAATAATTATTATGAATGTTTCCATTCACACAGTGCAGGGGACACTAGGATTCCCTGTGTTTCACTGTGTGTGAGGGTGGTAGCCATGTACATATAACCTGGACCCGAGTACAAAACAATTATCTGCCTCGGTTGGGATTGAACTCGAGACCCTCAGTATGATGTGGTACAGCTGCTAGTATTTGATACTTACATAATTGCTTTGAAATTGGTTTCCTGAGCAAAGCCTTTGGTGTAGAGTTGTCAAACGTTATATCAACCTTTTTTGAGTCTGCATCTGAAAGGCATGGATAGAAATAATGTTAGGTATCCCCAAGCAAAACTTGTGATGAACACTAATAACAATAAATTGTAATAGTTAAAAAAGTTCATGCTAGTAATCCTGAAGGTCCTGATCAGGACATTCAAAGATTCTGATACATAAATCCATAGATAAGTACCAAGTTAATAAGTAATAAACAAACCTGTCTCAATATCATCCAATACTTCTGTGTTTAACAAATTGTTGCACTCATTTAAGGAAGTATTTGCAGTACCACCTAAAATAAAAATATAGTTAATATTCTGAAAATAATATGCAATATATTTATATTAAATACATTTAACCTCACCTGCATCGGACATTTCGTTTTCCATTAAATCTAGAGATATGGTGCATTCTGCTGTGTTTGACATTTCAAGCGTTGTGTCAACATCAACTGTAAAACAAAGGTATTATTTAATGAGTTAATTGTTGTTCATGATTGAAATGTATTGTTTTTATGTCATTTTAAAATAATCTGCTATATCCAAATCCACATTATTATCTAATAAACTATCAAAACTGAAAAGCCAGGACTGAAAATTGGTATGATGTTGAGTCTATATTTTTCCAGGAGCTTATGTCGTAGTATAGTTGCATCAATGCAATAGACAAACACTCAAAACAATTATAATGTTATTATCATAATATAATCTCAAAAACAATAAGAGAAGTAGGTACATCATACCTAAAGCATCACTGTCATATATAGCGGGTAAGCCAGAAATTGACTCGCCCATAATGGTGTTTAACCATTCTGTTGTCTCTGATGGTTTAGGGGTGGTGGTCCACCTCCAGTTTGTTTCCTACCATTTTTCTCTGCACTCATTTCCTGTAAATAAAGCATAATAATTATAGTACCTAAGCATAATTAAATTCCATCTTTTAGCTTATTTTGAAGATAAAGGCAACTTACTTTTCTGGCTATTTTTTTCATATTGTTAAATTTTTGTTGTAGTTGCTTAACATTTCTGTAAACAACAGCGTCCGAATTAAACTTTTCTGCTAGAGATCGCCACGCTGCATCTTTTTTGCTGGTTACTCGCGTGATCAGTTCTTTTGCTTGTAATTATCGAATAATCCTTGAGGAGGCATGTCAGTTTTACAGTCTCTTCTTTACTAAAATTGGTTGTACGATCTCTGAAACATAGGGTTAAAGAAAATTACTTAATACTTTTTGTTTACTACTCTCCTGATTATAGCATTACAATAAAACAAATGTTAAGACTTACTTGCTAGTTCCTGTTTTTTGCGATGCCATCATATTCGAATTTGCTATATATTCTGTACTTTTTCGTCACGATGTTAAAAATACCACGAGGCACAAATCACGATTTAATTAAGTACCGTTTTTTTGTGATAAAGAATCTTTATTACAAAATAATGACATTGACAACTTTGACACTAATAACAAGTACGATAAACGTCAAATGCGTCAGGCGTAGACAGTCTTGCCATGCAAAAATAATTACTCCCTACTGAAATTGGGGTCATTTAACACTCATTACAATGGCAACATATTTAACCAATGGTTAACATTACCAATAGTCAAAAAGAGATCAAAAAACAAACTCTTGCTTTAACTAGTGGTTAGCTTCTAACCTTTGGTCAGTTTAACAAATAGTCAACGTAACTTTGACTACGGATCAAAAAACCGGCCCTAAGTCAGGTGCTGCAGATGTAGGAGCTACTGACGGGCCCGCAGCCTCCGTGGCTGGCATTTGGCCCTCCGACGTCTGCGGCGTTGCACCACCAGATCTCCTCTGGTCCGTCTCCTGCTGGCGTTGACTTCGGGTACGGACACCCTCCATCTCGTCCTTAGGTAAAATCGGCATGATTTTATCCCACTTCTGACACCAATTGTTACGAGCTTGAGGTTCGTGACAATAAAAATTGCCGATAAAATTACCTAAATTAACACTTTAATTCTCTTTACACAAATTAAAACTTAAAACACTAATAATTAAACACACTAATTCACTTAATTCCGCTCCGAAGCTTCGCTCGTATCGCCAATTCAATACTGCCTCGATCGCATCTTGCAGCGCCTATTTATATAAATTAGCAAAGAAGCATCCGGAATATTCAAGTAAATGCGCGCAAAGGGACGAGTGTGCGAGTGTAGATTTTCTAGAAACTTAGTTCTTCGGATGGTGCTGTCGGTTGAGAGATTTGTGATGTCATTTTCTGCAAAGCTCCCCTCGCTCTCGTTCCTGACACTAGATGGCGCTAGTTGACTTATTCACGCAACACTATTATAACTTATATAGTAGGTAGGACCGACTTCATTACTCGGCGAGTGGTTAAGTAGTTTAGGAGTATGTCGCGGACAAACAACGTGACACGTAATTTATATATATTAAGAAGATATAGTATAAAGCAACATGTGTATTAATTATAACTTATATTATATAGTAGGTGAGACCGACTCCATCACTTGGCGACATACCTGTCTTAACACATACTCACTTACCTGTCAATGTTAATATATAATTTTATTGTATATAATACGTAAAAAGGTATTTCACTTGATCTCTCGGATAGAAAAAAAAGAAATATCCTTATTTTCTCTAGAATTATTCATGCATCTGAGCAACTATTAGGCATTTTTGCTTATACAGAACACTTATTATTTACCTTTATAAATTTATAATAACTTAACTCTAATTATTATAATTAAATAATCTAATATTTATATTGAAAACTTTTTTGGTTATTCGTAGACTAACAGCCCTTTCTGGATATCTGATTGGTTTGTACCCGGACGAAGCGTCGGTGAACCTGTCGGTGAGAGCTCACGCACTATGTGTGGGTATAGTCGCAGCGAGCCGATTATATGTAGCTTCCCCTCTGGTCGACTTCTTTACTCATGTGATAGGACTGTTAACCTGTTTTAAATGTTGATATAAATGTCCTTTATAATTATTTGTTTTCTAGTAAAAATATTATCAGGAATAAGTAAGATAGTGTTTGTAATACTCCATATAGATTAATTTTTTTTTTTGTAATTTTTTTGTATTAGTGTACACTGCTGGGTTTGAGTCTCACTTAAATTAGTATTGTATTATAATGTAATTGTTTGTAAGTAATGTAAAAATAAATGTATTAATTTTATTCTTGTATTTTGTAACCAATTTTGGTCTGTTCTAGGTATTATGATCTTGATGATGCAGTTATTAGAGAGTTACTTGGCAGGAAGCTTTCCTCAAGGCACAGGAAGGATTTAGATGAGGTAAGACGTAAAATAAATACATTTTATTCACATACTAAATTAACTGTTGTGGTAAGGTCCTGTAGAGAGGTAAATTCTAAAATTAAATATTGTATAAATAAGAATATGTAGACAAGTGAGTTCATGGAATACTCATCTCTGGACTGGGTTACCCCAAAGTTAACTCTTTCCTACTTGACCGCATCTAGCCAAGAGTGGCCCAAATTGCCCATCTAGATGAATTACGGTCCACCATTGTTCCATTAATTAAAAAAAAAAACACAAAATGTTTAAAATTTTAGATACCTTTAGAGTTTCTTTAGTTACATATTCTGTGGTCAGAGAAACCTCATTACGAAACGGGAGATTTGAAAAAATGACATTTAACAAATAAAATATTATTTTCTTATGTCAAACAAATATATTTAATTTAATTTCGTAGGATATATTTAGGCAGTTCAGTCAAACAATTAAGTCTTGGAACTTAGTCGTGCCGTGGTTAACGTGTGATCACGTGTGACGTGTATTATGTCATGTGTCACGTGTAGTGTGTCACGTGGCACGTGCAGTGTGTCACGTGGCACGTGCAGTGTGTCACGCGGCACGTGCAGTGTGTCACGCGGCACGTGCAGTGTGTCTCGTGGCACGTATAATGTGTAACGTGTCACGCAAGGTCTCGGAGCGGTCGGGCGCGCCGCTGCGCTGCTGCCGGCGGCAGTTCGACAACGTGCGCCGCGTCTTCAAGGCGGTGGAAGAGATGCCGGGCAACGTGGTCGCCAATATACGCAACACCTTCCTCATATCCGAGCCGCTCGCCAAGTAAGTTTTTTTTAATAAGGTAGGTAAGTGAGAACACAAAATGAATAATAGTACTGCGTACAGAAGTTGCACCTACTACACTACTTGCCGACGTTTTAATATCCTATATAATTATTATTTATTAAAGAAATCACGCACTTAAGCTAAATTAAAACTATCGCTGTTCGCGAGTGTCCGCAATGCTTTGCATCTTTTCCCCTTCCTACGTCACTGTGTGTAGGAAGGCTGTGACGTATGAAGGGCTTTGAACAAATAGTAAAAAATACAGTACTTATGTATATAGTACATTAACATACCGTTTCATTATTTATTTAATTTACAACTGTTTAATTTTAATAATTCTTACATTTTTTACTAGCGAGGAAAAAATTTTAAATCTAATTTTAAGTAAATACTGCACATTGACACGGACTGATATAATTTATTTTCGTTCATAATTTAATAAATTATTTGCTCGTTATTTCATTATTATGTTTTCAAAATTGATAATGAATGTATTTTCAATGATTAACATATCAATATATATATATAAATTGCACTAAAATTTCTACAACGATTTGATTCTATAACTAAATATACTAAACAATGAACAAAAATATACAAGTGTAGGCTATACACAAAATTATTAACGTAAAAAATGTTAAAAACCTTTGAAAGTCGTACATCGCTCGCCTGATACGCGCTAGCCCTGTCTGCGTATGTAACCTGAAGTTCCGCGCGATTGTAAGTATTTATATCACGCGGGTAGCGAGAGTGACGGAGGCCTGGACAGGGCAATGTTACCTTAAGCTATGCTAAGGACAAGACAGAGACAACAACACTAACTCATACACTATATAACTAATATATTAAGAAAAAAGGCAAACAAGCATTGACAATAATTAGGAACATTTCGAAAAATCGACAAAAAATATTTAATATATAGTATTTACTATACTGTCAACTGTCCAAATGGCGTCGATAAAGCAGCGCCCTGTTGACCTTTTAATTATTTGATTGACGTGATGAAGAACTATCGTATCTATGCAAACAAGGCTATAGTTTTTCAGTTAGGTTATAGTTATTGAAAGGAACCATACTAAACCGATGACCATATTACTCTCACATGCGCTAAATTAACGGTAACGAGCGCACAGTCCATCTGATCGCAACTGGATGCTGTGGCTCACACACATCTACACCTACCCTGTCATTTATTTGGTTGTGATTAAGTTGAAATTACGAGTGTTTTTTAGGACCAAATTACTTATACGTGGTAGAGCCAAGCTTTAGCTATACTATGGTAGTAACACGAATTGGTCGGCTCGACCGAGGAAGGACCACGCTCTCACAGAATACCAGCGTAAAATAGCAGCTTAATACTGCTGTGTTTCGTATGGTGAGTGTAAAGATCCGAAGACCCTTTTTTACTGGAAATGGGGCATTCCATGTTAGTCCTCATCCTCATGGGTCAAAATCAAATCAAAAATTTTTATTCTCAAACCAGTAATACTTAAAATTAAATACATTATTGGAACACTCCTTTTAAGTTCGGAAACTTGTGTTAGGAGGCTCCGCTCTTCCCGTCCTTCATTTATATAAATTAGTGTTTAGAACTTGGGTAACACGTAGATTTTTGACTTACAGTTGAACTTATGTAGTATTTTTTTTACAATATAATATCCGTTGGTGTTAGTTGTGTGATTGTGTAGTGTATGTGTATGTGGTGTGTGCATGTTGAGGTATGGTATATTTACTAAATTATTCATTATGTGTAACATGTTAAGTAATTCTTTCTAAAAGTGTTTCGGTTTCGTTGTAATTTAAGGTTTTCAACCATTCTATTGTTTTCTTTTTAACTTCTATGCTATGCAATGGATATATGCTTAAGATTTTATTTATTTTATTATATAAGTATACTGCCCTTT